GAATTTTAAGAAAAGCAATAAGACTGGTCAGAACACAGATTTCTAGAGTGCAGTACGAACATAGCTAAAAAAAAATTTTAAAAGGGAAATAATCTAAGTAAAGAAAGAGTTGATGAAATTTCCTAAAATTCTTGCCTTCAACTAACAATGATAATATTTCATTTTGTTCTTTATGTCTTTTGTGGGCCATAAAGGACATCCCAGAAATCCATCTGTGCTTGGGGTTTAAAGACTACATGCGGATAGGTAGTAATCTTCAGGCTCACTAAATCCATTGCTTCTCTGCTCATTCAAACTTACTTCTTAAGACTTTGAAAATCTAGACTTTTGCCCCAGGGGGAGATGGGGATTGGGGGAATGACTCAAAGTTATGACTGATGTCTGAGATCTGATTTTTCCACATCTGCTCTCTGTCTGGTCTAATTCATCTGCTACATTATAAAGTTCATTCTTGATCTAAATTTACAATCCTATGAAAATTACATTAAATGATATTTAATAATAATTATCAATCTTTTCTCCAGAGATGAGTTTTTAAACATGCATCTTCTTTTCTTCTGTACAAAGATAAGAAGCAATTGGTTTGGAATATTGCATGTCATGTAAAACATGGTTATTATAATGATTAGTTTTATTGGACTTTTTTTCTTTGTAAAAAAGATCTTTCTCACATAGGATTCTCTATTGGTAGGGGAGATGAGAAAGATGTATTTGGAAATGAATATGATCTAATGATGAAAAGCATCAATAATTTTTAATTTAAAAAAGTTACAAGGCTTTAAAAGATAGATAGGAATTTAAAAATCAGAAGAGAGACTAGATATAGACATAGGGAGCAGAGTGAACAAAAGTGAAGAGGCCTGAGCATACAATTAATGCATGTTTAAAGAACATAGAGAAGTTCTGAGGATCATGGGATGTTAGAATGTGAAGATGGGGACTAATCTGAGATAGGTTTGGAAAGGTAGGCTAACACCAGATTTTGAGGACCTTGAGAAGAGTTTTATTAAATTTATCTTGTAACAAGTGATTTGCTAATGGCAAGATATTAGGATGCATTCCAGAGCTAAGGTCCAGCAAGCAAGCTGTGCCCTGACCTTGGCATAACAACAATCCTTTGCTCTCACTCTCTCAGCCACAGCAAAATCCCAGAATTATTTCTGGTCATGAAGCCCTGCTAAGACTCTAATTTGTCACACTGTTGCTGTTACCCTTCATTGTCAGGGCTACAGTTCACCTCATAGCCATAGGTATAAGTATTGAGATCTCCCCACATTGCCTTGGGTCTCACTCACTAGGGGTGGGGCTCCAGCATGTGTGTCCTTGCTTGCAAGCCATTTCTCTCACTTTGAAATTAAGCTTCTGTTTGATCCCTGACTCTCCTTTCTCTAGACTGCTTTGTTCTGCTTTGGCCACCCATAGGTTAGAAGCCAGTAACATCCAGTTGACACTGAAAACGCAGTAATATGATCAAATGTATAGATAAGAAGTATAACCTGGCTCTGATATTCAATACAAAAAGCATTTATTAAGCACCTGCTGTACAAGGCATTATGCTACATTTTGGGGTTAGGACGACAAAAAATGAAATAGTGATTGGATACAAGAAGTTTATATTCTAATAGAAAATACAATATGCACTCAAATAAATACATACATGGTAATTTAAGGATAAGAGAGACAGCACTAACACTTTATGGGAAGAAAGGAAATCAAGGAATGTTCCATGGAAGAGATAGCACCTGAGCGGAAGAAGATAAGGTAAAAAGGAAGTCTGTTCCAGGCTTTATGGGTGCATTTGGAATGTTGAGTGTACCTAACAGCTAAAAATCTAGTTTGGCTTGAACAAATGATATAAAAGCAGAGTAGGGGCATCTAGGTGGTGCAGTTGATAGAGCACCAGCCTTGGAGTCAGGAGGACCTGAGCTCAAATACAGCCTCAGACACATAACACTCACTAGCTGTGTGACTCTAGGCAAGTCAGTTAACCTCACTGCCTCACCAAAAAAAAAAAAAAAAAGCAAGAGTAGTATGAAATAGTACTAGAAAGGTAGGTTGCAGTACATCGTGATGGTACTTAAATTTTAGGCTGAGGAGTTTGTATTTTAAGCTAGAGACAATAGGGAGACATTGCTTTTAAGAAAGGCAATGTCATGATTCAAACTATGTCTTAGAAAGATTACATCGCTACGTTTGGAGGATAAAGTAAAAAGAAGGGAAATACTGTAACCAGTACTGGAGAAGTACTGAAGAACAAACTAGAGAAGAAAATGTCAAACGACTCCAGTCCCTTTGCCAAGAAAATTCCAAAATGGGGTCACAACGAGTTGGACATGACTGAAACAACTGAACAGCAACTGGAACCATGAGGCCAAGCTGAGATGAGTCCAAAGGAGAAGCAATAATGAACTAAACAAGGATAATTGTCTTCCATGTCAGTAAGAAAGAAGGAGATAGATACTATAGATATTATGGAGATAGAAACAAGACTTAGAGACTGATTGAATATGATGAAAGCTAGAAAGGAAAAAGTCAATGGTTATTCCAATGCTGGAAAATGTTTAATAATCCTCTCCCTAGAAGGAAAAAAAAAGTATACATAATTTGCAGTATTAACATTTTTCTATCACTTTCTCTTTTTGTTTTTTGCTAGGCAATGAGGTTAAGTGACTTGCCCAGGGTCACACAGCTACTAAGTGTAAAGTGTCTGAGGTCAGATTGGAACTCACATCCTCCTAACTTCAGGGCCAGTGCTCTATCCACTGTGCCACCTAGCTGCCCCTTTCTATCACTTTCTTAAGCGTAGATAATCAACAAAATAATAAACCAAGCTCTAATTGGTAGTGTTTGTTGATTTCTAAGCATCTGGATGCTATAACTAAAGATTAGAATTCAAATTTAATCGTGTTTCATATTCTTCTTTGTTATAAATTTTTGTCTTTGTAAAAAAATACTGATTTTTAATTAGCCTCTGACCAATATGTTCAAAATATGTAGTAAAGATAAGTTGTAAATCCAGGAATATAGTCTATGTTTAGACCATTCCTCGATCTTTAAAAACATGTATTGGCCCAAGTAAATAGAGTAAAGACATCTCCATTTTCACATTTAATTTCAACCTTCACTTGGATTTAATTTCACTTTCAGAGTAAGCTCTGGTTATTATTGTTACATCCCAGAGAAAATATTTTTTTTCTGATAGGCTGTAGGCTGTTGTGGTGATCTCATTTCAAGTCGAGTTTATAAACAAAGCTTTTTTAGAAGTTAAAAAAACACACTTGAAGAAGGGGTGAGCAGTGATTATTCAGTTAATTTGAGTTTCAGACTGATACTACTCTGAATCCCAGCGCCAGAGTACGGAGGTGTGACTGGCTCCCACTGCTTTCCACTGCTCTCTTGGGACGGATGAGGAAAGTAGGACCCCAAGATAGGTAGCTCTGGGATGAATCTGGATCACACTTCACCAATGCCTGTAATTCTAGCATATGTAGTATCGAAGCTCTCAAACAGCAACTTCCCCCATGCCATCCCACTTGAAATACCGCATACATCAGAAAGAAGATTAAAAAGGAGAAAAAACCCAGTAGCTCAAACACTCAAGATGTTACATCACTCCTCTAATCCTTACCTGGCCTTTGGGCTTTCATTAACCCCTGGGATGCTTAAATAAAATAATTGATGTAAAGCGTTTTGCAAACCTTGAAGAGCTATATAAATGTCAGTTGTTTTCTTGTTGTTATTATTCTCTTACATTCACCAACTTCATTCCCTGAGCCTTCTACTTCATTCCTGATGAGTTCAAACAATGTTTATAGAGCAATATAAAGGTATACTTGGAAATGTTTAACAACCAGGGTCTCAAGGGAAAAAAAACCATATACATACACACACACACATACATATATATACACATGCATACATACATACATACATGCACACATACATACATGTACACATATGCACAAACTTTTAAGTTTAATCTACATTATTAATGCTTTCTTAAATCTAGAAATCAACAAAAGACTAAGGCAAGCTCTGATTTGTAGGCACGACGGATTTCTGAGGCGTAAATGCTCACATTGAAAATTTAATAGTAAGCTCTTACAGGCTAGTTCAAATTGGCTCCAGTATAACCCTTATATTAAGGAAGTATCACAGATATTTTGTTGCAAGGTGGCCAAGAGAGAAAAAAAATTCTCAGAACGTACTTTGGCCCTTCATATCATACAAAAGTCTCTGGCACAGGATTAGATTAATCTAAGTTATAAAGTTTTTAGTGTTTGTTTCAACAGGGAAACACAAGAGATTAAATTCACCTGATTTTAAAATTAGGAACAAGAAGCATGACATTTCATTCAATAAATATGCTATGATATGTTTCCCATTCAACATTACTGCCAATTAAGTTGTAGGGAGGGAATGCAAGTGGAGCACCTTCTCTATCAGGAAAGGGAAAGAGAAGTAAATGGAAAGGAGAGGTAAAAGGTCACCACAAAGAGAGAGAAGTTTTACAGGTTCTGCTGTCAGTGTTAGGGTGGGGGTGGAGAACTGCTTGTTGTGTCAATAATAGATTGAGGAGGCAGGAGAAGCCACAGGTGCATTCAGTGCTGCATTCGAAGTGTTGGTCAAGACCCAGAGCCTGAATGAGATACACCTCCCTCCCTTCTTTGCAGAGGTGGAGGACTATGGGTGTTGAACATGGCATATACTGTCAGAACTAAGCTGATGTATTATCTAGTTATGCTAAATTCATCTTTTATTCTCTTTTTTTATTCACTGTTGATGTGCATGGCTCTCTGGTAGGGGCCAAGGAGAGACATAGATTAGCAAATGAAAAGAATGTGGAAAAAATAAGATATCAATTTTTATAAGAAGAGCAACAGCAAAAGTTTGACTTTGCACTCAAAAATATGCAATTCAAAAAAATGTGGAAAATAACCAAAATACCTTAACAAAGAGTCATTAGTCCCAAATTTTTCAGTAAATACCCAGTTACTTACTTTCTCTGAATATAAGGGCTTCTCTCCTCAAATCTTTTCTTGGCTTGTTCCAACTTGAAGCCTGCAGAAAAAAGCAATGGCATCTCTTTCCTTCCCTCCCTCTCTTTGTCTCTTTTTCTATGTCTCTATCTCTGTCACTGTCTCTCTCCCTTCCCTCCCTCTCTCTGTCTCATTCTCTCTGTCCTTCTGTCTTTCTCTATGTTTCTGTCTCTGCTTCTCTGTCTGTCTCTATCTCTCTCTGTCTGTCTCTGTCTCTGTCTGTCTCTCTGTCTCTCTCTTTCTCTGTCTCTCTGTCTCTCTATCTGTCTGTCTATATCTCTGTCTCTGTCTCTCTCTCTCTCTTTCTCTCTCTTTCTCCCCTCTATTGCTCTAAAACGGTACTGTAGCACTTGAATCTAGTCCCCTAGTTTCACAGACCGTAGTAAGGCTAGTCTTTATGTGGGCAACCTAGCAAAGTGGATGGAATGTTGAACTTGGAGTAAGGAAGACCTAGGTTTGAGTCCTGCCTCAGACATTTACTCCCTGTATGACCTTAAGTAAGTCACTTAACCTCGCTGGGCCTCAATCTCTTCATATGTAAAATGATGGAGTTGGGACTCAATGACTTTTAATGTCCCTTCCTGATCAAAATCTGTGGCCCTCCAGTTTTGTAATGGCATTTTCCCATAGTCAAATGAAGGAAAAACAAAACCTCTAGAGAGGCCTTCTCCTCTGCCCTGATTGTTACAACTCTTCTCTCTCTCTCCTTGTACTTGTATTCCTAATACTTGGTGTCGTGGCTAGCACACAGGACTTGGGAAGGCAATTATTAAATACTTATGGACTGATTTACTCTTCAGTCTCTGTTGCTATCAATGGACATCTTCTTTCACCTTACAACCCACTCTCCTCCTTCCCTATACTCTGCTATCCATTGATACTGGCTGCTTTGCTGTTCCTTTCACAAGACCTTCTGTCTCTTGGTTCCAGGCATTTTCATTGGCTTTCCCTCATGACTGGAATGCTCATCCTCCTCCTCATCTGGTTGTACTGGCTTCCATTAAGTCCCAGCTAAAATGTCATCTTCTGTAGCTCTTCCTTATCACTAATTCTATTTAATTTTAAATTAAATCAAATTAAAATTCTAAATTTAATGTAACACCTTCCCACTATCAATTACTTCCAGTTGATAATCTGTTCATAAATAGTTATTTGCAGGTCACCTCTGTCCTTAGTCTGTGAGCCTCTTGAAAACAAGAATGTTTTCTGCCTTTCTCCCTGTGCTTAGCACAGTGCCTGATACATGATAGAAACTTAATTAAATGTTTGTTGACTGAGTGATTGACTGACTGTAGAGAAGTTACTTGACCTCTCTCAGCCTCAGTGATCCCATCTGCAGAATGCAGATAATAACAAGAACTACCTCAGAGGGTCATTTGTGAGGATCACAAATCACCAATCTGAAAAAATGCTTTTCAAACTGTGTTTTTGTTGTTGTTATTGTTGCTGCTGTTACTGTTGTGACTGTTTGGAAGAGAGACGCAACAATGTGCCTCCGCCACCACACTATTCAGATTCCACTCAGAATATTCGACATTGTGAACAAAAACAGTAAGAGGCCAGGCTAGAGGAGGCTAGTTTCTTTTGGTGAGAGTTGATTTGTTGTCTAAAAAGAAGCATTATCCTGAAAGATTGTAAAATTATCAACTGTACTATCAAATGTAAAACATTTTTGAGTTTTGCCTCTACTCTCAGGGGAGTGAAGGGGGATATTGTTGTCATTTAATTCTTCATTCTTGAAGAGGGTCTATGACATCAGGAGGGTGATGTCTTTTATTTGAGAGTGACTTGGATTCAAGTGAAGCAGAGCTATGCAGAGTCATCAGCCTCATTCTCTCCTCCCCAGCCATTGGTCTCCAAGACTACTGGCAATGACCCAGGGTACAATGGGAGACCTGGGCCTTTTTAAGCTAAGGTCTTTCCAAGGTCTCAGTTTGAGGCAAAGCCCTTGCAGTAATTACAGGCTAGGTAAGAATTGAGGCAAAAGATGGCCTAGTTTGCCTCCATAAAATAATCAGTCTGGGAGGTGAAGACCCTCAGTTTCCGGCCAGGATAGAAACAATTGCTATTTAGACTCAAAGAAAGGTAATTACTTATAATCTAATTTGGCCAAGTGTAACAGGAAGGACAGGGAAGCTAGGTGCTGCAGTGAATAGAGTGTCAGGCCTGGAGTTAGGAAAACCTGAGTTGAAATCTGACCTCAGACACTTTAGTTGGGTGACCCTGAGCAAATCACTTAACCTTATTTGCCTCAGTTTTCCAATTTGTAAAATGAGCTGGAGAAGGAAATGGTAAACCACTCTGTTATCTTTGCCAAGAAAACCCCAAATGGGGTCACAAAGAGTCATAGACAACTGAAATGATTGAACAACAATAATGGGAAGGACATAGGGGGAAAAGTACATAAGACTTTTACTCTCCTTGAGGGAGGTGTCTCTTTCAAGAGCCCTTTTTTTTCATTTAGTGGCAGGTCAGAGGTCCTATCACCATTTTCTCTCTATGCTCGTGCCAGAGACAATTCTTGCTGCTTCCTATAGCTACCCAATAGACCCTTGGGAGGAAAGGAAGATATTTGAAATCCTTTTCTAAATCTAAGCTATTCTTAATGTACATACATGAATAATTGTATATGTATAACTTTAGGTCTATTGTTTAGAATGATATTCTAAATTAAGATAATCATTTTCGATAGGCTTTCATGGTGGTATTATAAATTTCCCCCAATTCCACATACTTGCAAGCCCTCATGAAATACTGACTCCTCCTTGAAGAGTATGCTTAACCAACAGTAGTTGTGGCTGTTATATTGAGTGAGAATCAGTGAGCCTAGCACTATTCAGTACTGGCCCCTTAGTAAGAGAATTTGAAAGGTGCAGGCTGTAAAGTGGGGTCTAATGAAGCCTAAAACCTTTTCCCAAGGCATGTTTCATCAATATTGTTGTCTAATTTTTTTGTAATAAATAGTAGGGAATGTGGGAATAATGTTCATAACAAAAGAGTGACTGGATTTTATTGCTACATGACAATTCTAGGTCAATGCTGAGATAGACTAAGTCCTGAAGAGAATCCCGCAGGAAAATAAAAGAAACTCGTGAGTAACAGCCAGAAACCAATTAAAAAAAAAAAAAAGCAAACAGCTGGTGCCTAACCTGACTCTAAATCTGAAAGTCACATGTTTAATTCCAAGTATTAGTGACTAATTATTAAAGAGAGACCAGCAAGTCACACTGATTACCATACAATTCTATATTTTATTATGCATATTTTGCATATTTACCATCATACTTTGAAATATAATCTCCTAGAATGAATTTGTATTTTATATGAGATATAAAAGATATAACCAAAAATGTTTAATGTTTTTTACTCTTTATCAAAAATTTAAATATGATTATACACAGAGTAAATGCATACAAATATATGTGTATGTGTGTATATTTATACATATATACATATATATATACATATACAGTTGGTGAGTCAATAAACATTTAAGCATTTACTATGTGTCAGACATTATGCTAAGTGCTGGGGCTACAAAGAAAGGCAAAAACAGCCCTTGCTCTCAATGACATCACAGTCTGATGAGGGAGACAACATGCAAACATCTATGTACAAATAAGAAACATATAGGATAAATCGCAGAAAATCTCAGGAGGAAGGTACTAGCACTAAGAGGGGATTAAGTTTGTTGTAGATGACTGGATTTTTGCTGAGAATTAAAAGAAACTCATGAAGCAAAAGTGAAGATGGTAAGAAGCCCTGGCATGGGGAATAGTCAGTGAAAATACACAGAGCCAGAGATGGAATGTCTTGTGTGAGGACTGGCAAGGAGGCCAGTTTCACTGTATACCTAGATATTTTATCTACCAAGGAGTAGCTAATTTAGATATTTTACTAGTTCACAGTCAAGTTTAGGTTAGGAAATACTGAAATAACTCATATTTTTTCATCTTGTTCATGAAGATATGATGGGAGACTGTCAAATACCTCACTGAAATCCTGATAAAGAATTTCTAAATTATTTTTCTGTATTCTTTTTGGCTCATTGATAACATTGCTTTTCTTTTTAAGTGCTTGTGTGGTTTTTTTGATGATTAAAGAATGCTTCATACATATATATATGTATTATATATTTTTCACATTTATAAGTTTGTATTTGCTATAAGCTCTACTTTGCTTCAATTTTGAACTGTCTTACAATGGGCAAGTTTTGAGACATCAGCTCTGATTCTTGTTTAATTATTGCACGCAAAAGGGAAACATATCCTTATCCTTTGTTAAAGCCTATATTGATATTTTCCATTTTTCTCACGCTATCTAGAGAAACATTGCCTCAAAGCAGCGTTTTTAAGGCCTATCATCCAACATCTACTCCATTCATTTTGCTGTCTTACTGATGAATTCAGATTAGCATATGGCTTATTCGGTTATGTCAGCTATGAAGAATGCTGGCCAATCAGCTATGCCTTAGTGTGGGCCTCACGCAGGACATACCTACATGACTTTAGAGCATGTATTTACTTTCTATTTGAATTCTATTTTAAAAGTTTGCTCTTTTGGTATAAACATTTTGTTGTTATGTTTCTCTAACTTTATACTCATTTGCCACTTCAAAACATACTTCACTTTCACTTTCACTCATCTTTGTCTGTAGTTTGAATCTCTCTTCTTCGTTAACCTTCTGTAGCAAATAAGATATCTCTCCTATTGAGACATTACCTCAAAACCTCTTTCTTTTCTTTTGATCAAGTTGATTGACCCATAAAAACTCATACGTACAGGTACACAAAGAAATGGGACAACTGAGACTCTATTATACCATTTATGTACTCCAGGGACTTCCCTGAATGAAATATCTAACAGAAATGTGAACTAACTTCTCTCTTATCAAAGACACAAAGGGAGAAATCTATGAACCTTTTCAAAGCATCTCTAGAAAATGAGCCATTTATTTGGAACCAAAAGATGTTGGGGAAATATATATCCTGATGGGATGGTCTAAGGCAGAAAATATGGAAA